AAGAAGCTTTTTCTATTAAAGTATCTTTCTATTTAGTTAATAAAGATATTAAATACGTTAGTATTAACCTAGTAGATAAAGATAATACTATTAGCTATCTTTTTAAACTTACTAAATAGTGTACCTTAAAAGAAGCCTAAATAGTACTTAAGAAGCTTTTTCTATTAAAGTATCTTTCTATTTAGAAGCTAGGAGTATATCTACTATAAGGTAGGACTAATATTTAACAGAGATATAATATGCTAAAAAGGAAAGTATTAGTATATTCTTTAATAGCTTCTTCTTATATATCTATCTAATAAAGAGGTTAAATATATTAGTATTAACTTTACTAATAGGAAGAATACTCTTTATTACTACTTTATACTTCCTAAAGAGTATATTATAATAGAGTTCTAAATAGTAACAGAGAAGCTTTTTATAAAGGGTATATCTCTTCTTTTAGCTCTAGCTATAATAAGAATAGTACTTAACTTAGTAATTATACTTATTCTACTTTAGCTCTAACTATAATAAGAATAGTACTTAACTTAGTAGTTATAATTACTTTACTAGTAATAAACTTTAAAGGTAATAAGTTAAAAGAAGAGTTTAAATAGTATTAAAGAAGCTTCTTATAAAGGGTATATCTCTTTTCTATTAAATAAAAGTATATTTGTTTATATAGTAAGTTAAAATACTTATTATTAAAATACTAATAGTAATAAATATAGGCTTTAACTAGATCTTTAGTATCTCTTAACTACCTAGTAAAGTATTCTAGAATATTAATAGTAATATTAAGAGTTACTACCTAATTAAGCTTAAGATAGTAGTAGTACTTAGAGTTTTACCTAATAATAAAGACTCTGTATAGTATAAAAATACCTTTATTAATATACTTACTAAGCTGTAATAGTTAAGAAATATACTATTTATAGTGTAATTTAATATATAATAGTTATAAACGTCTTTATATACTTATTATAAAATAGGGTATAAATTTACCTACCTATTTAATAATAAACTATAGTTATTTTATACTAAGTTTATATAAATTTACCTTACATTTTACACTGTATTGCAGTGTAAAACGTAGTCTTTCTTCTATGTTTTTTACCCGACAAAGCTGCGGGGTAAATTACCTGATTTTGTACCTTAGTGAGATTAATCTTGTTGCGTAGTTTCCTTTCTGCTCTATGTGTAGCGTCGCTGATTTCTATAATGTTGTGCGTGTTGTCAACCTTGTCCACATATTCGGTAAAGTCTTTGCCGTCTATAATGGTTGTCGGAGTGGACTGCGTCGAGGATGGTGAGAAGTGACTTGAACCTGCACTTGCTCCAACCAGTGGGCATCTGTTTGCTTTTTAACCCACCGACACATGCACACATGCTTTTGCCATCTCTCTTGACTCGAGTCATATCTACCTAGAGAAAGTGCCGACCGGCATTTGCTCGTGGCGGCTTGGCCACTAAACTCAACCTGGATCTCTCACCCCGCATTCCCCAGAAATCGACAGTCACGATGCTTCCCCATCGAAATCTTTAGGTGTTACCCCGTCCTTGGCAATGCAGGTAAGCGAACCTGGGGAAATCCGGAAATCCGGCAGATAAGATTTGTAGAGATCATCCTATCAGAACCACTGAACAGCTTCTATCGAGGCGTTGTCATTACGGAAGCATGCAACAGGAGAATAAAGTTCAGCGCCTACAACTTGCAACATCCGTTCCAACAAGTTAGTCCTCGAACGCTTGACCCATGTCGAGTCCTGGAAGGCGAAGGGCGCGGAATTTGTTGCGCAGCCCAAGAAGTGTCGTCCGTTATTGTTCACCATGTCAGCTATCACTTGGCTGATCGCGCGTTGATTTCACTAAAGTTTCCAAAGTTATTTTTGGTATCACCAAATCATCGCCATGATAGCGTCCGCTCGTCGAGATCATGTGTGGAACTGTCAGGCCTGCTGGTACCTACCAAGTTGTTCTCACCAAGAATCAGGACACTCAAAGATACTATTGTCTAGGAGGTAGCTGACCTTCTGGTTCTTTCCAACGACGACACCCTAATCTCAGCAGCAAAGCCTCACAAACATCTAATTTCTCATTGTTTTGTTGTCTGTGAACGTTTCCATGTTCCGTCTCCGCAGTCTGTATTCTCCTTACCAAGGTTTTGCCATCTTTTGATCCGCTTCGTGTTAGTTTCTTGAATGGTCTCTGATATTTTCTAGCTCAAGCCTGCTCACATCCTTTCGAAATACCCATTATTTTATCATCTGAGTGTTGTTCAGATCCATATATTTACTGGACAATCCAGCAAAGTATCGATTCTAAGCTATTGGGGCGTTATCAGACCTCCGTAAACGTGTAACCTCCCTAATCATTCGCTTCCTCGCAACTCGCATAAGCAAGATCATGCCACTGAAGAATTGGAATACCGTCACCGCTCCACACAAACCATCCTCTTTCTTTTCTTTCCAAAACACACAACCTTATCGCCATCTTCTACTACATTATCACAGTATACATGTCCCTCACAGTCCGTCTGCTTACACATCCACCTCGCTAGGTCACCACCCTTTTCTAGAACATAGCAACCCTCATCGCATCTCTTCGTACCATTCTGTACGTGCACGCACCTCATCTCCAGGGGAAACCAGCCACACTTGATTTTGACGGTTTTCCTCTTCATGCCATTAAGGTGATAGAGCTCAAAACAGTCGTAGTTCGGGTTTCGAGGATCATCGTCACGTGGACGTATGCTGAAGTGAGTGCTGTTGTAATCTCTACAGGAGACTGGTGTGCGGGTAAAGAACTTGGGCAGCCATCGTGGTGGTGGACGTGGGGGGCATAGAACGGTGAGTGTGTAGACAGTAGTGCTGGGTTCGGTCTCGCCTAGCGGGTCGAAAAAGGGTGGTAGACGCATGGTTTGTTTTCGACGCGATCCGGTATCGCTGAGATATGGTGAGGTTCTGTTGGTAGAATTTTCTGGCGGGTGGGAATCAGGGAAAGAAACTATTTGGGACCGCGCGTAGCATGATGCTCAAAAGCGGTGTGTGTCGGCACTCAACGAAAGCAAGGGACTTGGGTTTCCACCTGGGCAGTGGAAGGGCTGTGAAAGACAAACGAGGTGTTGTGCAAGACAAGTGTCTTTGTACAAACAGACAACAAAGACGTCATGTGGGTACAAGGCATGATGCATGAAGCGTGTAAGTGGAGACATGGCTTTCACCGAATGGAATTCTAACTATACCGAGACGAGCGAGACTGAATTAATGCAGCCGCAGTCGCATCTTGAATACCAACAAGGATGCTAGTGTAGATATTTTATCTTACCAACTGCCTCCCCATCACTACCCATTCATTTCGAACAACGTTACGACAGACCAGAAAGTCGAGAACACGATGGAAGTCGAGCTGGGTGGAAATAAATCCATTGATTATTGTAAGCCACATTTAAATGGCACAAAGCCTCTCTAACACCGTTCACTGCATCTACAGTGACATTTCAAGCACCTCAGTATCACGGGAAAGAACGTATTAGATGTAGACAGCGGTTGATTCCCTCAAATCAAACTAGAGCTTTGTCATACAACCCAACTACCAACACTCTATAAACGCTCCAATCCCACTTGAAAAATTACCCCATCTCTGCCTCGCTACTTCCCACCTACCTCCCCCCTAACCTTCCTAGTACCACTCTAAGCGCCATGCGGTACAAATACCCAGCCTATACATGTCCAAATCGCGTCCATAAAGACCAAACCACACGTAGGATACTTACCCATGTCCTGCCAGGCAGTCTGTTTGAAGAGCGAATGGGCCAGACAGCGTTTGTGAAACACGTGCGCGCATGAATCCATCTTGACCGTGCCGCGGATCAGGTTGATGGACTTTGGCTTGGTGTAGTATGGCGCGTCGGCGTCGGCATTGCAGATGGTGCATGTGCTGTGTGTGGAGGCGAAATGGTTGGGCGGTGGGGCGGTTATGTGGTAGGTGATGCAGGCTTTGAGGGTATGAGAGAGTGTCATTTATGGGCATGGGATTATCAGAGGAGAGATTGTGGGAGTTGGAGGACATCTGATGGATTGGGAGATTGCTCGTTATCACCATACATCGTGGCCTATCGTGAGCGAATGATCCTGAATAGTATGCAGAAGGGAATCAAATCAATACAACAACCCGCTCGAAATATATATAGAAGTAGTCTGAACGGCAGCCTCACAAAGCCAACCCAACCCCACACCTCCCATAAAAATCTCATATATCGCCCAGATACTCTCGTCCCGTCCCCTTAAATGCCCCATGGAAACCAAAGCTCATCGGCCCTTGCATCTCCGCTCTACCCTTCTCGAACAGATCTCTCGCATCCAACACGAGCAAGTAGCTCTTCTCCACGTAACCATCTAATACGACCGTCAGTAAGACACCATCGTCTTCCTCCTTTCCCTCTGGGTCAGCAATGAAAATCGGCTCCCCGGGCGTATGTCCCTCAGTCTCCCAGAAGATACTAGTCTGGGTGACGTTATCGAACTTGGCAATACCATCCATGAAAGAGGATTTCAGACGGTCGGTACACCCGTAAGAGTACCGGTGGCGGTGCGTGAGATAGAGAGGGTTGATCGTGGGAAGTTCGAGCGAAAGCGCCTTTGGAGCCTGGAAGACGAGTTGCGCTTTGCGGGGTGGACAGAACTTGTCTTTGCCCGCGTTATGGATATCTGGGAGTCTGAATTGTGTTTGCATGGGCAAGCAGGAGAGGCGTCTTGTGCCCGTGAATTCTGGACTCGCGGTCGAGGAGAGCAGGTTGTCGTAGTAGAAGCGGTGGAGTGTGTCGGTGTTTTCGAACATGCTGAGCTCGGCGATGATGTCGGTCTGCGAGGGGTCGGTGGATGATGGCTCTTCCCACGCGTTGACACTGTGGAAGCAGAAGAAGGGATCGCTTTCGTAGCGTGCGATGAGGCCTCTGTCGCCAGTGCGATCGATGACGTACCAGACTGCTTTGGAGCTGGGATCCAAAGGACTGATAGCATCCACGATATTTTTGTTGTAGAGAACCGAGATACCACCCCATTTTATATGGCTGTTCCAGATGCATAGAATGACGTGGTTCCCAGTGAGGAAGATGGAGTGTATGTACGCTGGTGTGTCGGTGAAGGTGGCGAGGATTTTGGTCTTGCCCGTGGAAGCTGACGTCCGGAAGACGCGGTAGGTACTCTTGTATCCGAACTCGAGATTGAAATTGAAAATGTCGCCCGTGAGAGGGTCAGACTTTGCGTGCGCAGCAGAGAGAGGACCTTTCAAGTCTGGATGGAGCAGTACCTGAGTTGCGATGCCCCGGGGCTCCAGCGTCTCGGGATCTATTCTTTTTACCATGAGAGTGTCCGTCTTGACGTGCAATGTCTCAATACCATTGGTGTGTCCGCTGATCATTGGCTTCTCAGTATCCCTCTGGTAGCCACCGCCCGGCATGTTCATCGAAAGTGTCACACCAACATTGTATGTATCACGCTTAGCATGGAATACACTCATAACTTTCTTGAAGAAGCTCTCGCAAGGGTCACGCTTGGAAGCAAACGTGATGCTGTCGACTCTGCCTGTCGTGCGGACAAGCTCGAGGTACTCGTCAACGTTGCGTCGGGAACGGTAATTGACCTGAGCAGGGCCAGCCTGGTCCGGGAAGTCAATCTGGAAGCGATGAACGCTGGAGAAGCCGTCGAACCAATGATTTGCTGCCCATATTTTCCCATCATCTGTCTCCGCTTTGTAACCCAGGGGCCCAGTTCTGAAGAGAACCCCAGCAGCGTAGTATGGGATATTGCCTTTGACTGCGAGCGCAACGGGCAAGTGTTCCTCGTAGCAAGTGTCGAAACCAGAGTCGTTTGGCCAGTACTCCATAGTGACTGTTGACTTGGTGGAACTGTATAAGACAAAGAGATAGCAGAGACTAAAAGTGACGAGAGTCCACCGAGCGCAGGTCGAGTGGAGTCTACAAGAAGCCGGGAAGTGTAAACGAGGATGATATTAGTATATAATCATCATCATAGGATGTTAGTGAAGCCATAATAGCTCGAACACCGACTCTGATATACACCAAGACAACGGACGTAACACCAGCCAAGGAGACATCATTGCTCCGTCGCGAAGTCATGTTTACCCGTTCGAAAGGGTCTAAACTAGACTTTCATGACGGAAAGACGGCAGCCCTTCACGTGTGATCGCTACCCCATGTCATATTTATAAGGCGTGTAACACGAGCCGACGTCTCCGTGATGACTTAGTGGTGGTAATATCGGTACGCACGGGTAGACTATGTTTCCGTTTTACGGCCGCAAGGTCTTCACCTCTTGTTTGTTCGCCCGTGAATGGCCATGCAACCATCAAAATGGTACAATTCGCAAGCCTTACTCTAAAACTTTCCGAAGTCGTACATACGTTCGTCTGGCTCGTGCGATGTTGGCCTCGGCATGGTGAGTCTTTGGCATCTCAAGTCTTGTCAGCTTAACAAGTGGCTTGCACGCATGCGGTCAATTTAGGCGACTTTTCATCACCAATGCCTGTCCTCTCAGCACTCCAAGCCCTGAACAAGATAAAACGTTCTCGCTTATCGATGCAACGTCGTGGAAATTGTCGCGAACAGCTGACGGTAGATGTGGACTACTAAGTGAAGCGAAATGCCGAATCGAGCTGACATGGAGTACTGACGAATGAACGTAGATGAAGACTGCTGTTCAGTCATGAAATTGTGTTTTGAAGTCGAGAAAGAGAAAGATACGCAGCTAGGTTTCGAGGCTCATTATGACGCTAGAGCCGATCCATCTAGTGCGATGTTTTCTCAGCCCTACGCCGCGCATTGCATCACCAAATCCGCAATCCAACACCAACACCACAAAAGCTCATTTAGCACCAAAGCATTTCATTCCACTTTATCTCGACACCCCAATCCTCCACTTTCTAAAATTCTACATTCAACCATCTTCTCAAAAGCATCTTCATACACCACACCAACAAGTACTTTCAACCCCGCGCCAAAATGGGTGCCCTCCTCACCCTCCCAATCACCCTCCTAAACCTCCTGCTTCCCTTCACAAAACCCGGGACCCCCATTCTACAAGATCTCATCCACACCACCGTCCTCTGCGGAACCCTCTACTATGCGCCCCAAATCGCAGAATGGTACAACACACGACAAGCCCCGCCCACAAACGAAGGACCGCAGGATGCGCGAGGCATAGAGGAAATAAACCACGATGAGCCACCCTTAGACGAGCATCCCGACGCGGACATGGTAGAAAACGGAGCAGGAGACGCCGGGGGAGGAATAGACGCGCACGAGCGCCGACCCCCCGCACCACACGTTGAAGACTTCGCCGAGCCCCTCCCGAACCAGCTCTTCAATGGCAACAACAACGACAACGACGATGAAAACGACGACGACGCCCTCCCCGGCCCCGCAGACCAACGCCCCCGCCCCACACCAGCCAACCGTCCCATCGGCGCCAAAAAAGCAAAGTCCCTCGCCCGCAAAGACCAGCGACGCGCTTACCACGAGTTCCACAGACAAGAGGCCGAGCTACGCCGCCTGCAAGACGCCGAAGGCGCTATGGAGCGCGACTTGGCGCTCTCTGCGGAAAAGACACGGCGCGCTAGAATCGAAGCCGAGATCGCGGAGCGCGAGCGCACGGAGCGGGAGCGGCGGAAGGAAGACGAGCGGCGCGAGGTGGAGGAGGAGAGTGCGCGGCGGGAGCGCGTTGTGCGGCTTGTGAGGGAGCGTGTGGGGGAGGGGGGATGCGTGGATCTTGTTGATGTGGCGTGGGGGGAGGGCAAGGATCGCGTGTGGGTTGAGAGACTTGTTAGGGCTAGTGGGCTGTTGGGGCAGTTGTCGAGGGATGGGGGACATGCGTTGATCACGGGGGAAGGATGGTTGGTTCGGTTGGATGGCGAGGTTATGAGGCGCGCGTATGCTGATGCGGAGGCTTTTGGCAAGGGGAATGAAGGGAGGGTTGGTTTGGCTGAGTTCGGGGGCGTGTTGGAGAGAGCTATTTTGGCGCGGGCAGGGGCTTGATCATGTGGGTTGAGAAAGAAGGTTATGTGTAATTGGTGTGGACTCAGCGTGTATGACGATACCCACATGGGCTGCTTCTTGAAGAAAAAGTAGACATCTATAAGCTGCATGACGAAGCTCGTCCTCTGCAAATAGACATAATCGTGGTCCGTTGTCGGACGCTATGTTGATGATTTTAATGCAAATGATCTTTAGAAACCAGATATGAGAAAGCAAACAAATACGTAGAATGTAATGGTATTCATATCATTGATCGACTTCACGTCTCCTGCTTTGGGCGGGATACTTCGAGGCCTCATCTCGCCCAAGGCATAAACAGCCTACAGCCAGACTGGCCTGGAGACGACGTCCTCTTTCGCAACTACGGACACGACGTCTCCTCACGAACAGCACAACAAGCGAACAGATTGTATCGAATTGTCCATTTTGTCATGCAACCATGAAGTCGGTGTTTATTCGCCTAGAAGACCCTTGCCATGCACGCATAAGATCCTCCATCCGTATCCGTCCAGTAGAGACCAGACCCCGATTCGAAAAAACTCCTCCGAGACACCAAGTACCACCAGCACACTTCCTTATCGGTTGGACTTGGCGACACGCTCCAGCTCGTCCTTCTTCTTGATCGCGTACGAGTTGCTGCTTCCCTTGGCAGCGTTGATCAGCTCCTCAGCCAAGCACTCGGCAATGCTCTTGACGTTTCGGAACGAGGCCTCGCGGGCACCGATGGTGAGGAGCGCGATAGCCTGGTTGACACGGCGGAGGGGAGACACATCGACGGCCTGGCGACGGACGGTACCGGCGCTTCCGATACGGGTGGAGTCTTCGCGGGGTCCGCAGTTGACGATGGCGTCGACGGCGACCTGGATGGGGTTCTGGTCGGTCATGATGTGGACCTGGGGCGAGTTAGTCAGAGTCCCACAGAGCTTCTTTGCGCGCCATGTTCAAATTGAGGCTTCGCGCTGCGGGTGCCAGGTGTGGTGGACGTACGATCTCGAAAGCGTGGGCAACAATGCGCACAGCCATCAGCTTCTTTCCGTTGTTGCGGCCGTTCATCATGAGCGAGTTGGTGAGACGCTCAATGATGGGGCACTGCGCCTTCCTGAATCGCTTGACAGCATATCGGCCGGCGGAGTGTGAGATGTAGACGGGCGAGCGGATCTGGATGTAGTCGCTGGTGGCCAGTTAGCCCAAGTCCTCAATGCGCATTCCCAGTCCCCCAACAGCGACCGGTTCCTTCAAAGAGCGTGCGGGCGGGAGTCGATGGGCAACGTACGTCAGGGAGATGTCGCGGACCTCGACCTCCTCGTATGACCACTGCAAAAGGTCAGAACGGTGTGCATGCCCAGGTGCGTGACGCGCTTGCCTTGTTGAACAGCTTGATGCTGCCAATCTCCTCGGTGACCTCCTTGGGGAGCACGGCGTAGCCGGAAGGGCTCTCGACCTCGATTTCGCCGTCAGACATGATTGCGGTTGGTGTTGTAGGAGAGAGAGGGAGGGGCGTGAGGTCGTTGTTGTCGCTACAGTCGAAAGTTGGAGATGGAATTGGAATCAATTTCCAGTGTGGCTCGCTTGTTGGCCAATGGGGCTGGGTGGGTCCAGGTCATGGTCTTGGCACACGAACTCGATAGCCTACACTACATCTCACACGAACACGCGATACAACGTTTTGGGAAAGCCTTTTTCCTAAATCACCCTGTCTATATGTCTCACAATGAATGCACGGGTATCAAATCAATCATTTTACCTTGTAGCTGTCAATGTTTGCACTCTCAAAGCTATTCATGCCATAACGCATGAAAGCAAGACGTGATCGCAGCACAGATGTAGATTGGCATAAATCATCAATTAAAATACTCATAAACCAGAAATACCAGGGTCAACCGTGGGTGGGATATATCCAAATTGCTCCTGCCCAGAAAGAACCAGCCTCGTAAACCTTTTCAACGCCTTAAACAAGAAACGCGACAAGAACTCCAAGCAATGCCGCCGTGATCGTAGCGAAACTCCACCATATCAAATCGAGTTTTTGAGTCGACCATCACTCATGATCTTCGTACCCGGGAAACTGGTGCGCTGATGTCTCTGCGATCCTTGACACCATCTACCATCTGCTTCAACGGCGTTCCCTGACCCGCGGCCAAGCTCCTAGCACGACCCCGTCGCTGGCGAATGGCCTCAAGTGCGGCTTCTCTATCGATAGGTTGATTCATCGACAGCTCTTTGAGAACTGGTGTGGCCGCATCTACAGCTGCGTGAGCTACAGTCGAAGGCGTCATGGGACCTCTGCCTGGTTTGAAAGCAGGCGTAGCTGGCGAAAATTTGATGGGAACAGTCTTGACTGGTTTTCGATTCTCACGATAGGCTGGTGTGGCAGGTTCGTGCATGTAGTGTGGAGGTTCCATGTTCTCCTCGTCGCTGTCAATAACGGTATCCTCGTGGACGGAGATGTCTGCAAGCTTGTTCTCTTTGCGACTCTCTGGCAGTTCTACAGGAGCAGACATTCGTGAAGAGGTTCTTGCCGTGGATGTGGCGGCGTTGTGCGAGTCTGACGTCCATGTTGGTGATAGGGTAGTCATTTCAGTTGTGTCAGAAAAGTCCTGCAGAGGTGGGCTGATCTTCTTTGGAGATGGGACGGAGCGAAAGGTGCCTGTTGTAGGGGAAAAGGCAATCGATGTGTCAGCGTCGTCGGCCTGCGCATGAACCAAGACGGTATTGTCGTAAGCTCGCTCGCTCGGGTCTGCGTCTTGCTCGGTCTGGTGTAGTTCTTCTGCGGGTGGTGTGAACGGACGCTCGCTCTCAGCAGGCTCTTGCTTGGTTATCACGCCCTCCATCGAATCTTCTCCATGGTTGCTCGGTGGAGGCGTCAAAACGGGAATGGACAACTTGATGCGCTGCATCTCAGAGTTGAAGCTGTCATCATGGACATACTCAGTGCCCTTGGTGTCGGCAATACGGCAGGAGCAGCAGCGGAACTGGCACTCCATTTTCATGAAGTCGATTTGGTCCTGGGCGCGCTCTCGCAGACGTCGTTCAGCCACCAGTTCCTGCTGGATGAAGCTAAGGTCGACAGCCCCCTTCTTTGGCGACACATTTTCCTTGTTGTCATCGTCGCGCTGCACGTTACGTGGCTTCCTTGGAGAGCGCACTGGTGGGTCAAACTCGTCGTCCTCGTCGTCATTTGGCGTTGGTAGCGCGATGCGACCTTCAGCAGCAACGCGCATGACCTCCTCTTCCTTCAGGCTTGTCTTCAAAGCGTCACGCTCTCCCTCGACTAACCGTAGCTTTTCCTGAAGTGTGTCAATCTCATCGCCAAGGCGTGCCTCTACACCCTTGAGTTCGACATCCATATCGTAGGCCTGTTTCTGGTATTTGGCCGCTTTATCTGATTCAAATCTTGCATCAGACTCAGCCCGCTGAATCTTCTTCTCCAAGCCCTGCTGATGCATTCGCATCGATGGCACCAACATTGTGGCGTTCAGGGCCTTTGTCTCTGCGTCCTTGGTTCGTTGTTTATATTCCCGGCACTTGGCATGGAGGGACTGACAGCGCGACTCGGACTCTTTCTGTTGCTGCTGTTAATACTCGACAGCATATAGATGAATACAGATCAACATACCAATTTCGCCGCATCCTGCTTCCAGATATTCTCACGCTCCTTAAACGTCTGCTCCCACTTCTTCACATTAGCCCTGTGTGCCTTGAATTCTTTTTCAAACTGCTCGCGGGAGACAGCCACCTCATTGGCCTCTTGCAGCTTCTTGGTATCAGCCCGCAGCTCCTCAATGCGCACGTCGCGCCGGCTCATAGCCAAGCCGTGCTCCTTCTGCATCTTGGCCATCTCCTTCTCCATGACGCTGAGCTTGTCCACCCATCTGGCTTTTTCCTTTTCGAGTGCTGCCTTGTACCGGTCGCGAGCCTCGCGTGGGTCCTTAACCTCGAGCGTCTCGAACATGGTTGCCAGCCCTTGCACCGACACATCCGAGTCGTTCCGGCGATGTGACCGCAGCGGCGAGCCTGAGCGCAATGCTGGAAGCGAGGGCGACGAGGGCGTGGGATCGCCGTACTGTGTTCGTGTGCCGGTGATGCGCTCGGGGCTGGCGGGGAATATGGGCATGCCTGGCGACATGGCCAGCTTGGAGGGTGTGGGTGGGTCCATGGGGCCCGCGTTTTCCTTGAGTCTCGCCAGTTTCACGGTTGTGTCGAAAAAATATGATGTATTGGAGTATTTCTGTTCGTTGGAGGTGGTATGAAAGCAGGGTTGCTGTTGCTGTGTGTGGTGTTGAGGCAGCTACGGCTGATGTGCTATGAACTGGGATCAACGTAAACAAACTTAAGCGACGCACCTTCCATCGCAACCCGCACAGACCAACTTCCACATTCACAACTAATATCATGCACGAGAAATCATGAAACCTCCAATCATTTCTTTTTCTTGTCCAGCTCATAGTTTCCAGCATGTAAACGATCTTTCTGAGTACTATAGTCGTAAAACAACTCGATGAACTGATATTTGCAAGCTCCACGCACACGCCTGGCGATTTAGAAAGCCAGATATCTTGAACGCCTTCTCAACATGCAGACGAAGTGTCCGGGCAATGGAGCCAACGTGTGAGCAAGGACTGATTCTCTATATGTACTGATATGTCGACCAATCTGCAGGTTTCTGGTGTGCCTCTTTTGTCAATTGGAATATCGAGAATGAAACTACGTTCTTCTTAGCAGGCAACGGAAGAAAATTACAGGAAAAAAAACTTACAAATAGCTTAAGCTAGGTATATGCTAGCAACACTCAAGGTACACACGTTCTACACAAATCTTGTGGGTAGTTGCCTAGCTGTTCAAAGGATTCGTTGCACCCTGATTCCTGGTGACCCAATTAACTAGGAGTCAGGACTCTTGCAATCGTGCTTACCTCGAAGATTTTTCCATATGCGCTCCGACGTGCCCCAGGCTATCTACGATTGGAATTCTCAATAGCTTTTTGAATGCTTTTTAAAATAGCTATGCTCTTTTCCATTTTCTTCTTGAACCCCGATGGACCTTCGGCCATTGTAAAAGCGATTACTGTGGAGACAACGGCGGTCGCGGTATGGAAAGCGATTGGATTATGGACGAATTAATGAACTACGATTAACATACTATGGAGAACTAGGAATTGGACTAGTTTCTGCACCAGCGACATGGTGGTAGAGTAGCGAGTGGCTGCTGTAATGAAACGAGAAGTTCCTGTTGTAAAATGCTCAGTAGTGTGATAATGATTAGTGAGTAAGATAAATGACGAAGGGAGAGAGATCTTTATATCGTAAAACGCCGCTTCGTATGATGGTATGCTCTTGCAAACGAACCAACTGCCGCCACATACCACCGCCTGCAAGCAGGTCTCTTACGCTACGAAGAAGAAGACAAAAGCGCTGTTAGTGCATCGCTGTGTGCACAAGATGCTGGAAGATACCTTGCCCAAACCTCAAGTTGCGGAAGGACTGTGTCAGAGGGGACCTGTTTGGGGTTGTTTCATGTGTTTTGCGGTTGCAAGATATCAAGGAGCATCGCAGTATTATGAACCTTACACTTTTTGGCCTCCATCACGAGTCTTCGAGAAAATGATGACTTCGCAAAGAGCACCATGGTCAGCTACGACATGTAGTCCTTGTATTTAACTCATCATGAAGTCGACGAGATCTAGGTACTCATTGGCCGCGTGAGTACATTTCCATTCCGTATATCGTATGCAAATTCCTCTGTGTCTCATCTGCCTTTCGCTTTCCCTGACTCATCTCAAATTCTCCACATGGTTCACCTCCACACTTTTCTCCCAGCCGTCCAAATCATCACTTCATCCATCCCATTACCCGGCACCCGCAAAATTGTATTGATTAAACATACGAGTCCAAACAACAAGAGCTCAAGCGTTGCAAGAAGAAGAAAATGAAAACTCAACGCTTGCCGCCGACGTTCAGAAAGCCAAAGGTATAGAGAAACAGAATGGTGAGGTTGCAGAAGTAAGACGGATGCAATAACACAAGCAATATGCCCAATCACCTGCATCTGGGAAGGAAAATCACAAACTTGACCAGATGACATGTGATGAGGGTATGAAGGCAATGTACTAGAAAAAAAGATGAAAGCTGTGTGATCAAACATTGGAACATTGAATAGAAAACATAGCAGATGACAGACGTGAAAAATGAAGGCCCTCTAGGTCAATAACACAAGTAATCAAACAACAAGACTCCAGAGAATATGAGAAAAAGACACTTGATAGTTATAGAACATAGATCTCGAATGATGCTCAAGACTCGAGATACGTCAAGTCGAGAATTGAGTAGACTGGTAGAGTGAAAGTAGAGAAGACTCCTTGATTTGAAAAACGTGGCTTTCGTTATCAGTTAGACGACCCGGTGTGTCGTGGAAATTATATCGTCCTAACGCGATATTCGGTCTCTTCCCAACCTACTCAAGCTGCGATATATGTAGTCCTTTGATTCTCTTATCTTTTTACTGTAGCAAGACTGCACATCTATGCTAAATACGTGGAAGAGATCGACCGAAAGTGCAAACGCTTTCCAAAATTCTACTGAATGTGACGATTGATTTTGTGAATGTGCACGCACAAGTCTTACACAAGAAACGAGACAATCGTAAGATACCAGATGATGTACAGAAAGAAATGAGCATGAAGCTATTTCAAGTTGCTTGACTCAACTTTTTCGCCAAAAAGAATCATATTCAAAATACTGAACCACAGAACCTTATTCTGATGATTTTCAATCTCAATTTATGTCTTCGAGACTTTCCACGAATCATAGCATTTACGAGTGTTGTAGTTGAGTTACACTCTTGCTGTGGGTCGGCCCCAGTTGCCGTTTCGGGTTAGGCATGCGACAAACGCTCAACGGGTCCCCATCATTATCCCAGCACCCTATCAACAAGGTAGACTGTCTGACTCACGACTTCGTCACCCACTATAAAACAAGAGATGACCTTGATCTAGAGCATTAATATCACGCAACCAGCAGCGCTCAAGAAAATACGAGGAAGCGACAATCAGCCATCACGATGAGTTCGACCCCTGAGGCTCAACACATGCAACATGTCAGCGCTACTGAGGCTACATCCTTTGTCTCCAACGTTCTTATCGGTAACGGAGTTTCGGAGGACAATGCTATTATCGTCGCCAAATGTCTTGTTGAGGCTGATCTACGAGGTGTGGATACACACGGCATGAACAGGATTCCCTCATACATGGCGCGCATAAGACAAGGCGTGCTGGATCCAAAAGTATCGCCGACGATCCGTCAAGTCACACCAGCTGTTGCCCAAGTCGATGGACACAACGGCTTCGGGTTTCTTGCAGCGCACATGGGCATGAACGCTGCAATTGACATGGCTAAGACGACCGGCATTGGTATGGTCTCCGTTTTACATTCCAACCACTTTGGCATGTCAGCCTGGGTTGTACAGCAAGCGTTGGACGCAGGTATGATGAGTCTCGTCTTCACAAACTCGTCGCCTGCTCTACCCGTTTGGGGAGGCAAGTCGAAGCTGATGGGCGTATCACCTATAGCCTGCGGGGCCCCAGCCGGGAAAGGCAGACCGTTCATTCTTGACATGGCACCATCGGTTGCTGCACGCGGCAAGATATATAAAGCTTTGCGAAGAGGGGAGAAGATTCCTGAGGACTGGGCACTCGACAAGGATGGCAGCAGGACGGACGATCCGGCCAAGGCACTTGAGGGTGTCATGCTACCCATGGGTGGGCCTAAAGGTTCCGCACTCGCTATCATGATGGACATTTTCTCTGGGGTGCTGTCTGGAAGTGCGTTCGCAGGCCACGTCACTAACCCTTATGACCCATCCAAACCAGCAGATGTTGGTCATTTTCTTGTGGCTATCAAGCCTGATCTCTTCATGAACATCGAGGAGTTCAAGGAAAGAATGGACTACTTGTATCAACGCGTCGTCGGATCTGACAAGATGGCAGGCACTGACCGTATCTACTTCCCAGGAGAAATTGAAGACCTCAACAAGGAAAAGCGCCTGAAAGAGGGAATACCGTTAGTAGAAGCCGAGATCCAGGCGCTTAACCAGGAGGCCGGACGTGTAGGAGTCGCCTCCCTGGTGCTCCCGCTCAGATCTCGCTTGTAATTGAGGCTCAATGTCGGCATTTGAAGTACATCGGGCATAGCTCAACCGAACATCCCACCTTGAAGCTCAGAGGCGTATAGTGTTAGTTAGATTTCCCCCACGTGACATCACATCATTCACTGGCACACACATTCACTGGCACACACATGCACCCGCCCACTAGGCCCGCCAGTCTGTGCCCGAGCCCCTGCTTCTATATCAGGCAGCTGCTCCTCCATAACATATCCCATAGAACATTTCATAGTCAATCAACTCTACTCCCATATTCTACTCATGGCGGTACCGAGTCCCTCCGACGATCGAGTTTGTCCTAAATTCCAGATCCGATGTGTTTTGACCAATTGCTAGAACATTACTGGTTCGGTACATCAACGGTACATTCCCCACAGTCTTAACTGCCGAAGCTCGAAGCTCAAAGGCCGATGGATGCGGGGTGGATAGCCGCTCATCAATTTGGATGCTGGCGTGACAGGGTTAAGCAGGGATACGGTCAATATCGGGTGCTTACGTCCGTTGCCAAGCAATCAAGCTCAACAAGCTGCACGAGTCGAGAAGGCTTCCCCCCGGTCAAGCATCTAAAGCCCCACGCCACGGCCTCGGCATGTAACCTTGTTGCAGACGATTACCGCAAACTCGAACGACACAAACACGGCGAGTCGTCTGAAGCTTCCACCGTGGTGTACATGGCAGGGCTACCTCGCTTCGGAAATTGCAATACGCTAGACGACATACAGTCTGTTCTTTACAATCGCATCTTACAAGGTATTATGCAAATCTAGGTATGTTTTGTGCCCTTATCTAGTTTTAGGAAGGTCAATGAGTCTAAAGTACATTGTAGATAGTAGGCCGTGTGGGACAGACACTGCGACAACCAGACCACGAAATTTAATACAAAATACTGCGGTTTTGCATGTATTATTTACTAGTACGGCTATTTAGAGACTTCGGTACACTCCCTTACTTATCCGCTGGTCATGTACACTACTTTTGCCTAACACCACAGTAAGGGCTTGCCAAGGTCTGCAACGCGGGGAGATTCGGTGTCGGTGAACGGACCCGACTGCCTTTCCTGGAGACGGGCCGCTGCGATCGACAAATTCACTAGTAATCGGAGGGGGTTCTGGGTGTGACAGACTAATGTGGGGTTACATGGATGATTTCTGGGGTGGGTGATGCAAGTTGTGGATATTCCGGTACAGCTACTGCATCTGCAGTGTAGTGCGCAATTGGAGTATTCATAAGAAACATCCCGCCCTCCTCGAGCTTTCACATCGCAAGCCTTCTTCCCAAAGTCTCTCGTTGTCTCTACCGCTTTTGGCCAAGATTTGAGGCTCTCAAGAGAACGCGCATCATGTGGAATCCGTGGAGAGAAAACTTGAAGGACACGCCGAAAGAGTCGCTCAACTGGCGACTCTGGTATGGTGTCTTTGGTAAGATGAACTCTCCAGAGCTTGCATTGCGTGGCGTCTAATATCGCATAGTGTTTGGTATCATGGGCGCCGCCCGAGGTATCGATGAGGGTCTGATCGGAACAACCGCAGAACTCAAACCTTTCATCAAGAAGTTCGGCCTTGACGACCCCACCAAGAGCAAACATGACCTCGCGGATCTCCTATCCAACATCACCTCTATGGTGCAGATGGGCTCCATCCTGGGATCCTTGATTGCTTTTGCGATAACGGATCGTATTGGTCGTCTATGGTCCACACGGCTTCTTTGCCTCATATGGGTTACTGGCATCACCATCTTCTTGACCAGTTCACTCACTGGCAGTGTTGGTCAGATTTATGCTGGACGTTTCATTGCCGGCGTTGGAATCGGCCAAACTACAGTCGTTGCGCCGACCTACCTTGCGGAGACCGCACCTAGAGCCATTCGAGGTCTTTGTGTGGGTGCCTTTTCTGGATCAGTCTATCTGTCAGTAACCTCTCTCCCATGAAGCAACTGAACTATAGGCTTATATTCTTCTAGTGGTATCATGCTTGCATACTTTGCTTCTTGGGGATCGTCCATTCATATTTCGTCAGCGACTGACAAGCAGTGGCTCGTTCCCAACAGCATGCACATCATGTTTGCTGGCCTTATCTTCATACTTTCATTCTTCGCCAGCGAGAGCCCTCGTTGGCTGATCAAAGTCGGAAGACATGAGGAAGCTCTTGAGAATATGTCACGCCTACGAAAGCTACCTGCTGATCACCCGTACATCACGTCTGAGATCATAGACATCAACGACCAATTGAACAGAGAGAGGGAAGCAACGATGGGCACAACATGGCTGGGTCCAATTAGAGAGTTGTTTTCGACCAAGGCCAATCTCTACCGCATTCAATTGAGCATCATGAGCCAGCTGCTCGGTCAGTGGTCGGGGGCGAATAGTATCACAATCTACGCGCCGCAGTATTTTGCGATGATGTAGGGTTCTCCGCACTGTTTGTATCTGGCCTCACTGACTCTTTCCAGGGGTACGACAGGTCAAAAAGAGAAGCTCTTCGCTACCGCTATCTTCGGTGTTGTCAAATTTGTTTCCAGCATAATTGTGAGCCTAACGAACTACACCAACGAGCGATCATTGACAAAAAATTAGTGTGCCCTTTTCCTCATCGACTACATCGGACGAAAGCGATCCCTTACCTCTGGTATTACCCTACAATTTGTCTCCATGCTATATATGGCGCTATTCCTCTTGATCGATACTGGAGTCAGCAACAAGAGTATTCCGCAGACTCCTAGTCAGAAGCGAGCAGCCATGGCTGCCATTGTCGCGATCTACTCCAGTGGCTTCGGTTGGGCATTGGGCTGGAACAGTATCCAGTATCTGATAAACTCCGAAATTTACCCACTTAGACTACGCGCATTGGGTGGCAGTCTTGCGATGACGTTCCACTTCGTCAACCAATACGGAAACTCCAAGGTATGCCCTTCTCTCAACGAGTTTCCCAATTCCCACATACTTACGTCTTACAGGCTGTTCCGTTGATGTTCCTCTCTATGACCACTGGTGGTACGATGATGTTCTTCAGCTGCGTCACTGGGCTTGGTCTATTTTGGGTTTGGTTTTTCTTGCCAGAAACATCTGGCAAGTCGCTTGAAGCCTTGGACGAGATTTTCAACTTGCCCTGGCATCTTATTGGTCGCAAGGGCGCACAACTCACCCGAGGAACTGGTGGCATGTCGGAGGTCTTGGATACCGCGGGCGAGAAGGCTGCCACAGCTCAAATGGAAGATGCAGCCGAAAGGGATGGTGTTCAGACGCACAGTCAGAGAATGGAGCAAAAGGTCTAAGACGGCAAGGACAGTAGTGGTAAGACGGAGCGTGATTTATGATCATGAAGCGTACGATTTGTTCATGAGCGTTTATGTCCACTTCACGAATTCGAAATGCGATACGCCAGAAATGAATTCCTCAGGACGCGATTGCAAGATACACAAGTGATTAAGAAAGCTCTTTCAATAGTGTGAATCTACGTCGAATTTCTTCCTGCAGTCCTAATGATAAGAATGCAATTACATAAACGGGTTGACGAATTAGCTTCTCCTCCCATCTCTGTAGATGATGAACATGATGCTGAGGCCCGAAGACGAGAGTGAAAGCTAGTAAGCCCTGAATAGCATGGTGAGAGTCTCTCGACATATGATGTTTGTCACGCATTGCAGAAGGAAGGATGCTTACATCATACGGTTTGATTAGAAACGAGAGTCAAGAAGAGCAGGTTCCAATGTGTTTAGCACTTTGGGACAAGGTTCCTCGTTTGTACAGCTAAATGACGCACACAAGCCTGGTAAAAATCGTTGAATCAACATGGAATGTCCACCCAGATATCAGAAAAGTGGGGGAGAAGGTAGATGTAGATACCAAATAACGGAAACTAGATACAAGTTGCACAATCAGTTACGCTATCCTCGACACTAATATCGATGCTAGACATAGTTCTCCTTGGTTCCCTGCTTTGCGCTGCGGTAGATAGCGTCGATCATCCTGTGCCTGACAAGCGCATCCTCGAACGTCGTAACACTGTACCCCTCATCCAGTCCGGCACCAGCCCAGGCCTCCCAAGCCTTACCAACACTGAAATCCAGTTCACCTGTCTTGCCAGGGTAAATGACTTCAGGCTCTTTCTGTGCTACCGCGCTTCCCATACTCCTGAACGCGTGGTCCTCCTTCACAAACTTGACCGTGGGCTGGAATGTCTGAATATTGCCTGCCATAGCTCCACCCAGTCCCTCACCATCCAGGATAAGTGTACCTTCGGTACCGATGATCTCCCAGTAGAAGTCGCGGTTTGTGCGTGAGTAACCGGGAGCGTAGGTTACATCTACTACTCCGCCGCCGTTGACAAGGAAACCACTGATGCTGACGTAGTCGTGCGCGGATTTTGCGACTGTTCTCAAGGGCTTGCCTTCAGAGTCTGTGACTTGTAATTCAGGACGCAGGTTAACGAGTGTGGCGGATAGGTCCTTGATCTCGCCCAGGACGTGGCAGAATGCATCCACAGTATGACCAAATGGAATTGTAACGAGATTTGCACCAGACTCTATTGGAAGAAGGTACTCCAGTTTCTCGACGATAGTAGGGCCGAAAAGACCTCCATGACCATATCTAATGAAGTTAGTCTTATTCAAAATCGTAGCTAAGAGCTCAACGTACAGTGTTGTACTCAGAATCCTTCCTAGTTTTCCAGAGGAGACGATCTCTTTGGCTTTCAAGATAGACGGACTCTGGCGGGCTTGTAGACCAACCATGGTTCGGACGCCCTTTTCTTTCGCTAGCTGAACCATTTTTTCAGCGTCGGCAAGATTGCGAGCAAGTGGCCACTCAGAGAACACGTCCTTTCCAGCTTCAAGAGCAGGGATGATCAGGCCATAATGTTCAGGAACGTTGACACTGACGGCCACGATGTCTACATTAGGATCTGACGCGAGGCTAGAGGGGTTCCCGTGCGTAGTCACTCCATCCAGAGAGTACTGCTTAGCAGCCTCATCTGCGGACGCCTTTGAGCTGTTTTGGAGTGCTGTGATTTTGTAGTGAGATGACTGCTGCAAGTATGGCAGGTGTGCTGCGACTGCCCAAGATCTGCAACTTGATTAGCATGCTTCGATAACCACCCCCAATGCTCATACCCTTTGGCAGATAGGCCAACAAGACCAACGCGTTTCTGATCAACCATCGCGGCGTATGAGGGGTTGTTACTAAGGATTTTTTTCCAGTTGGACGAGAGCCGTTGAAAAGAGCTGATCTGCAGTTGCCTCTAATCAGAATACTGTTTATTTATTTATTTCTAACATACTATCGTGATTTCAAAGCACCTCTGCGTATGCAGTAAGCTGAGGTCTTTGTAATCACAGTGGGTCGATTCAAAAGCACGTCTGTCCCTTTAATGAGCTGATCTATCGGTGATCGTATGGCGTAGTAATGATGAAATTGGTGTATTTGGTTTGGCCGCAATTGGCCCGCATTGCTGAACAACTCATGAGGTGTAAGCTTGCGAGCAGTGTTTTGCCATAAAGATGTGTTGATTGGTCAAATAACCGATCGATAACGTTTAAGTAGATAAGGGGCTGTACCTACAGTCAGCTATCTTACTAAATCCGCTAACTACTAAAATTAAAACTAAAAATTGTAAACGTTACATTATATAATTATAATAGATAATAGTAAAAAAATAAATATAAACTAATATAATATTATTATATACTTTACTTACTTTTAATATATTATATCTAATATTATTTTTAAATAATTATATATTTATAAGTAGATATTCTTTATAGATAAATACTATATATAAAATATACGCTAGCGCTTACTTTATTAGAACTTTTACTATATAAAGCTAGGATTTATAATATTTCTAGTTATATTTAAATTATATATATTATTTTACTCTAATAGTATTAACTAAGTAATAATTAATATTAACTATTACTACCTATCTACTTAGTACTATCTAACCTTACTAGCTATACTACTTATAGTTAATTTTACTTTATTATAAAATAAAATTAATAAGAACTTTTATAATAATTAAAAGGTAAACTAACTAGTAAAATATAAAAAAAAAGTTAAAAAGAAGGTATTAAAAGGTAAACTAAAAAGTAGTAACTTAATAAATAAAAATTATAGTATAAAATTAGAATAAAGGTTACTAACTATATAAGATAATAATTAGTTATAATAGTTTAGGGCTTTAAATTAAGTAATACTAAAATGTTTATAAAGTTAAATAATCTAAAAATAAATAATATTTAGATTAATATATAATAACTTTACTAGATATACTAATTACTTAAAATTAAATATAACTTTATTTTAAATACTAACTAGTTTTATACTAATATTAATCAAGTTATATTTAAGCTAATTTTCTAAAAGCTCTTAAATATTTTCAAAATTAATAAATATAAAAAAGAGTATATATAAAGGTATATAATTATAAAAAAATAAATTATTATTTTTTATAATTAATTATACTAATAATACTAATATATTAATCTGTAGGCTGTAAAGTAAAGAGGTTAAAATACCTAGTACTAAAGAAGTAAATATATTATACTAGAACTAAATTATATTTAGTTTATTAATAAATATAAGAAACTAAAACCTTATAAAATTTATATCTATACTACTTTTAATATATACTTATAATATATTATATAGCTTTATATTAATATAACTATATTTATATTTATTAGTATTACTAACTAATACCTTAGAATTATTAACTTAGATACTATTAGTAATATACTAATATTTATTTAATCTAATTATAGTTTTAAAACAAATATACTAGCTTTCTATTATAATATAATATTAAAATTTCTTAAATCAAAACTTAAATTTAGATAGTATTATATATATAGTATAAGTATAGTAAACTAATAAATTAAAGTATAGTAAAAGTAAATTTTAAAATTATTATTATTTTAGTATTAGGTAAGAAAAGTAATAGTTTAAATAGATTATTATATAGTACTAATATTTACTAGACTTTCTTTAACTAGCTTTAAATAGAATATTATTTTAGTATAAGTTATCTAGCTAATTATATAGTAATATATATTAAATATATACCTATTCTCTAATTTAAAATCCTTATATTTATTAATATCTAAAATAATTATAAAACTTACTATTAAAAAGTATAACCTAATATTATAGCTAGTAAGCTTTATATACTATATAATAATTATTTACTAAGTATAAAATAGTATAAATGCACTATACTATAAAAGATCTTTAAGTAAGTATATATACAGATTTTACTATAAAATAGAAATATCTATATACTACTTAATATATTTATATAAGTAAGTATTCAGCTAGTAAAGTTAGAATTAAACCTAAATTAAGTAATATATAGTAAAGTAAGTAACTATTAAAAGCTATACTTTAAAGAATATCTTACTTTATAGAATTATACTTAGTTATATATAAATTTATACCTTAAGCTAAAGTTATTACTAATAATTAACTTAGTTAGTAAGTTTAATTAGGTCTTACTTAATAGTAATTCTATACCTAAAGGTAAGCTAAAGATAAATCTTTAAGTTAAAAATAAGTATATAAAAATTTTAATTAAGCTTAAAGCTTTAATAATTTACTTTATGAAGTAAGTTAAATTAAAGATCTATATAATTAGTAATAGTCTTAGCTAACTATTACTATAACTAAACTTAGTTTATATATTAATATTATAAAACTTTATTAATTAATAAACTTTTAGTTTAATATTTTTTATACTTATACTTAAATCTACTTACTTATATAATAGTAAAAAATACTTTTAATATTTTAAAACTTAGTTAGTTCTATACTAAAACTAAAAGCTTATACTATATCTAACTAAAAGTATATTATATTAACTATAAAAAAGTAAAATAGTTTTTAACTTAAGCCTATTACTATACTAGAGTTACTTAAAAATAAACTTAAAATTATATTATAAATATAATCTAGTAAAAAGATCTTTACTTTTACTTTAGCTAATTCTTTATATATATAAGCCCTTTTAAATACTTAGAAAAGTTATTATAACTTATAAACTAGTTATATAAAAAAGCTAAAAGCTAAAATATATACTTCTACTACTAAACTAAGTTATAGAGTATTAGTTTTAATTTTAAATACTAGATAAAAGGTTATAATCTAGGTAAAGAAGAAAAGTATTATTATAAAAATATAATTACTAAGGTACTATACTATAAGCTTATATATAGTATTTAACTATATAAAGCCTATTAAAAGTAAGTATAATAGTTTTTTCTAACTATTACTATTACTAACTATAACTAAGTAAGGTTTAGGTATATATTTTAGCTAACTAATAATATACTAACCTTAATAATTTTATTAATAACTACTTCCTTTTTAATATCTAATTATATAACTAGTTTATACTTAGTTATTTTTTAAAAGTATTAGCCTTATAAGTTATATAAAAAGACTTTCTAGTTATACTTAGGCTATAACCTTAGATAAAGATAGATAAAAATAAGGTACTTTTAATATTTACTAAAAATATATAATATAATACTCTTATATATATTTATTTAAGGACATAAAGAAAACTAAAAGTATTTATAAATCTTTTACTTTAATACCTAAAAGAGAAAAAAGAACTAGATAAAGTTTCCTATTAAAGAAATAAGTCTTTTATAATAAAAAATAAATACTAAATACTACTTTATTTATCTATAATTCTACTTCTAAGATTTTTAAAATTAAAGTTAAACTTAAGTTTACTAAAATTAAGTCTTTAGACTTTTTTCTTTTACTAATAAAATTACAAAAAATAAAGAAAAAGTAAATAGTATTTATTAATCTTAATTATTTTAGGTTTATAGCGTATTTATACTTATAGTATAGGCAGATAGACGTAATATAGTAAGAATCTAATATAGTAACTTAGTATAAAAGCTAATACCTAGCCCCTTTTTATATAGTAAATATTAGTAGAAGTATATAGTAAAGGTAATAGAGAGCTTATTAGTATACTGTCTCTTAATAACTAGCTGCTTAATATACTAATATAGATATATATTTAAGAGCCTAGGTAGCTATTAGTTAAAGTTTAGTTTAGTTATAAACTCTAGTTTTTATTATAAACTATAGCTAAGTTATAAAAACTCTTTTATTAACTAGTAATTCTAAATATATAATAAGTAGCTTTAGAGAAGGTCTAGGTAATAATAGTTTATATAAGTAAGCTATTATATAAAGATTCTTTATACCTTAAGGCCTTCTAACCTATCTTCTATTCTATCTTTAATCTTTTTTTACTATAACTAAGATTATATACCTATAATATAATACTATTACTAAAGCCTAGATATTTAAGCACTATATTCTACAGTACTTTAGTAAGGTATAAATTACTATATATAGTTCCTAATACTATTACAGTACTTTAGATATTTATAGTAAGATTTCTAAAGACCTAACTAGATAGTAGAAGAAGATAGAGAGTATTACTTAATATAATAGTAATATATTTTTGTTATAACACTACAGTGCTCCCGTAATTACGCCAAGAGCTCCTAGAGCTTAGAGTAACTATTTATCTAATCTCTACGTAGTATATATAGTTACTCTATAATTAATTCTTTATAGAGTAGTAATCTAAATAATAGATTACCTAAACCTACTATTTCTAGCTCTATTTTCCTCTACAGTTATAAGCCTAGCACTTTAAGATTACAGCAATATTCTCTCTATATAATTACTTACTAGAATACTAGTTTAGACACTCTAATCTTATTTAAATCTCTTAAATCTTAACTCTAAAGATTACTACAATCTTAATACTATATTAGACACTGCTCTACCTATAGGTAGCTATTAGCTTAAGGATAGCACTACCTAGACTAACTAGTATATATAGCTTTAGTTCTATACTCTAAGTAAGGGTATATAGGATTAGATTAATCTAAGTACTCTAGATATAATAAACCCTCTAGATTAAGCTCCTAAACGCCTAGAGCTTTCTAAAACTAATAGGAAATTAGAAGCCTTCTAGAATAAGATTACTAAGTATAGGGCACTTATAAGTAACTAGGTATCTAAAAGCTTATAAATTTAGAACTTCTAGAACTAGGTAAATACTATAGTAGAGCTAAAGCTTCTAGCTCCTACTATAATAAGCCTAGTAGATAAGAAGTAATCTACTTTTTAAGCTCTAGTTTATATATTAAAAACTAAGCTTGCCTTAACTAACGTAAGCTTAAAGGACCTAGTTAGAGCCTAGTATTAAGCTTATCTTAAAAAGGTAAAGCTTAGATTAATTAAGCCTAAAGCCTAGTACTGTAAGTAGAACTACCTATATATTAAAGCAGTAACTTATAAGATTACAGACGTTAAAGGGTAGCTTATAACTTAAGATTTCTTTAATACCCTTACTCTAAGACTAGCTCTAGAGTAGGCCTAATTAATATACTAATCTGTAATTTAG